TGTTAGTTTAGTTTATGTTAGTTTAGTTTGTTAGTTTAGTTTAGTTAATGTTAGTTTAGTTTATGTTAGTTTAGTTTGTTAGTTTAGTTTTATTTAGTTAATGTTAGTGCTCGCATTAAGGATGTAAATTTTATCCAAACAGAACTTATGAGAATCGTGCTGCTGCTGTTCAGTGTATTGTTTTGCACTATTATCCATCCATCCATCCATTATCTTTACCCGCTTATTCCATTTTGGGTCATGGGGGTCGCTGGTGCCCATGTCCAGCAATCACTGTGCGAGGGGCGGGGGACACCCTGGACGGGTCGCAAGTCCATCACAGGGACACATAGAGACAAACGAGACAAACAACCATTCACTCTCTCACTCTCACCTAGGGACAATTTAGAGTTACCAATCAGCCTAACATGCATGTTTTTGGTCTGTGGGAGGAAACCGGAGTACCCGGAGAAAACCCACGCATGCACGGAGAGAACATGCAAACTCCACCCAGAAAGGCCCCTGGACCGGGGTTTGAACCAGGGACCTGCTCGCTCTTTATATACCGCTTCTTTTACACTTTATATTTTTGCTATTGTTCGATGTAACTGAGACCCTGTGTACACTATTTCATTCCACCTTTTGTACCACATGTGATGCGAAGGACAATAAAGAACCTTGAATCCGTTCTTACGGGCTGTTCAGTCTCTATACAGTCGGTGCGAGCTCAGTTCTCATTGCCGGCAGTAAGTCGGACCCTTCAGGGTGGGAGTTGGACTCCACCAGAGCTGCTCGTTGTCACAGATTCTGTTCTTAACTTTTATGGACAGAATTTCTCGGTGCAGCCGGGGGGCGGAGGGAGTCCAGTTCTGTGGCCTCAGGATCCATCTCCGCCCTTTGCAGATGATGTGGTCCTGTTGGCGTCATTGTGCCGTGATCTCCAGCTCTGGTGAAGAGGGAGCTGAGCTGTAAGACAAAGCTCTCTGTTTATCGGTCGGTCTACGTTCCTCCCCTCACCTCTGGTCATGAACTCTGGGTAGAGACTGAAAGAATGAGATCGTGAATCCAGGAGGTTGAAATGAGTTTCCTCTGCAGGGTAGCTGGACTCTCCCTCAGAGACAGGGTGAGAAGTTCAGTTATCAGGAGAGACTCAGAGTAGAACCACTGCTCCTCCACACTGAGAGGAGCCAGTTGAGGTGGTTCATCTGGTAAGGATGCCTCCTGGGCGCCTCCCTAGGGAGGTGCTTTGGGCATGTCCGACTGGGAGGAGACCCCAGGGAAGACCCAGGAGTCCTCCCAGAAGAGCTGGAAGAAGTGGCTGTGGAAAGAGATGTCTGGACCTCCCTGATCAAGATGCTGCCCTCGAGACCCGAATCCAGAACAAGTGGAATATTATGGACGGATGGATGGATGGATGGATGGATGGACGGACGGACGGACGGACGGATGGACGGACATTTCTAAAGACCGACTGAAGCTCAGAGGTGTTAGTTTTCTTTTTGTTATTGTTTGACTTTGAAAAATGAATCTGTCACTGGAAGTATGGGCATCAGCAGAGACTTGTATCTTATTTTAGACTTGTGTAAATCTGCTCCGGTCAGCGGTGAGTCTAATTATATTTCCTGCTCCTCTAATTAAAGCTCACCTTTAAGGTGACTCTCCTCCCTGAGTGTTAATTACATGTGTGTGTTGAACATCCACCTCTGATGGCGTTACATGTCCGCAACACATCGAGAAAGGTCAGTTCCTCTGTCATCGGAGGGCTTTCACTCATGAGAAGACCCCGAGACACATCATGGATAAAACTGTTTCCTGTCTCACTAAACAATTTCCATCACGTGTCCTCTCTGAGTTGGGAGTGAGTTTCTTCCTCGTGGAGGAGTTCATGAATCTCAGGGTTTTGTTTCATGAGTGAGGGAAGAATGGAGCGTGAGGTTGACAGATGGACTCTGTGCTGGTTTGTTGTGGAGAAGAGGGAGCTGCAGGAGAAGATCTCCATTTTCTGGTCTATCTACGTTCCTACAAGCCCAGTGGGTGGGCAGATGGATGGATGGATGGATAGATGTTGGATGGATGGATGTTGGATGGATGATGGATGTTGGATGATGAATAGATTTTGGATGGATCATGGCTGTTGGATAGATGATAAATGAATGATAAATGTTGGATGAATGATGTGTACTGGATGTTTGATGGATGGATGATGGCTGTTGGATGGATGATGTTGGATGGATGATGGATGTTGAATGGATGGATGGATGATAGATGAATAGATGTTGGATGGATGGATGCTGGATGTTGGATGGATGTGTAATAAAGAATGGATGGATGTTGGATAGATGATGGATGTTGGATGATGGATGGATGTATGTTGGATGTATGTTGGGTGAATGGATGTATGTTGATGGATGATGGATGGATGGTTGTTGGATGATGGATGGATGTATGTTGGATGAATGGATGTATGTTGGATGAATGGATGTATGTTGGATGATGGATGGATGTATGTTGGATGAATGGATGTATGTTGGATGAATGGATGTATGTTGATGGATGATGAATGTTGGATGTATGTTAGATGATGAATGGATGTATGTTGGATGAATGGATGTATGTTGATGGATGATGAATGTTGGATGTATGTTAGATGATGAATGGATGCATATTGGATGATGTTTTCCTTCATTGTTCTCCAGATGTGTGTCTGTTGTTCCTCCATGTTGTTGAAGGCTTTAAACGTGTTTTCCAGATGTTTCAAAGTGAATCTTGTTCTTCCAGCTGTTTAATGGATCCAGACAGGAACTGCGAAGGCTCAGTTTGTCTTAAAGGGATGAACATCACCCGCCACCTTTCACAATAAGAGTTTATTATTTGTGGTTTATGAAAGCCTCATAATGTGATGGAGCTCAGAGTGCGTGTTGGGGATGACTCTCAGCTACCACCACACCAAACTTCAGCTCAGTATAGACAGAACTAACTGTTGTAAATGTTTGTGTTGGCTAAGGTCAGGCAGCTGCAGGTCTTTTATAATATCAATAAACAGGAAGTGGAGGAGAGGCTGTACTGTTGTAACGATCGTGAACTCTTTGTTCAAAACAACGGTTTCTGTTTGAGTCTAGGAGAGAAAAGGTACGAGCTGAACGTCAGCTGACTGCAGCAGCCGTCCCATGAGCCTCCAGAGTAAAATATGAGGCGTCTCTGAGCCCGGCGGCCGTGTCCTCTGTTCAAGGTCACGTTGCTGCTCGTTTCCTGGTCGCCGCCGTTGTCTCCGGACCGCCTCGCCTCCTAGAGCGTCACGTTTATTTTCACTTTGTGTCAGATTCATTCTGCTGTTCACGGTTCAGGCGTCATAACTTTGATTAAAGAGCAAACGGATACAGCTGACAGAGAAGAGGTCTACAGACGAATAAACACCGAGAGCTCCGGCTCCGCTGAGGCCTCAGGGTCAGCTGGAGTCTCATCTTTGCTCAAGGGCACTGTTTGTTTTGTTTGTGTTTACTTGTTTATGTTGTGGTTCTGTTTACTTGTTTATGTTGCATTTGTGTTTATGTTGTGTTTGTGTTTACTTGTTTATATTGTGGTTGTTTTTACTTGTTTATGTTGTGTTTACTTGTTTATGTTGTGTTAGTGTTTACTTGTTTATGTTGTATTTGTGTTTACTTGTTTGTTATGTTTACTTGTTTATGTTGTGTTTGTGTTTACTTGTTTATGTTGCGTTTGTGTTTATGTTGTGTTTGTGTTTACTTGTTTATGTTGTGTTTGTGTTTACTTGTTTATGTTGTGGTTGTGTTTACTTGTTTATGTTG